GTAAGCATAATCGAAACTAAGCATAACATTGAAAGTAAGCATAAATGAAAGTCAAATTCTCCTAATTACTAAAATTAATTGATTATCTTTTATAATGCTATGTGCTTCTTTAAGATAATATTTGAGAAATATTATGTTAAGAAAATAATTTTTATTCTAAATATTGTCATCTACAACTAAAAGTTATTTTAAAGTATTGTTTTAATGTTTAGCCTCACTATTGATAATCAATTTGTAAACTATTTCAGCAACTATTTCCGTAGTATGTACAAAGAGTTGCATTTACAATTGAAGCAGATGCTCTATCTTATGTCTAAAAATAATTGTATTATCTTAAGGGGCGTAAACTCTGCTTTGAACTTAAGATTTAATTTATTTAAAATAGCTAATGTGATAATAAGTTTTGGTTTAAAATTGTTTGTTCATGTGAAAAGATCTCATAAAAACATTTAATATTAGAATAAATAAAAAAATTAGAAGAAAAAAAAAATGTTTAAAGTTCAAACATAAGCAATTTAAACTCAAACATAACAATTTAAAAAGGAAAATGTTATAATTAAAAGTTTTTTTTTTACTTTTACAAGCAGCCAAATCTTTACAAAATTGAACTTCCTTTAACAGTGCATTGTTACAATTACCACCTAAAGAAGCGCCTTTACAGGTGCGTCGTCTTTGTTGAGATGGTGTAGAGTCACCCAGTTGACAAGAACATTTTCCCCATTCTGTCCAATTACTTAAAGTACCTAAAGCAAGAATATGAAATAAATTTTTTAAAATCCGTTTAAGAGTTGTGATTTGTAAAAGTAATGTCGAAATAGAATTAGACCTTTTAGACATCGAAAGATTATTAGAACAATCACATTAAAACAATTATGTGTTGTTCACTTCATGCATCATGATAAACACACATACACATTAACATGAAATAAAAAAAATCATATAATCAAATCAAGATAAACATACACTATTCGCATTATCCCATCAAAATAAACATACCTCCTTAACTTACATCAAAATAAATATAAGATTATATAAATATTATTCAGATATCAAATAGATAATAAACCAGAAACATTAAGTTGAACTTACATTTGTCAGTTTTTTCATGTTAAAAAGCAAAAGCATTTTAAAATTTAAACATACTAAAAAAATATATTATGCTATTACTAAACAGTAAAGGTATTTTTTATACCTGGACAAAATGTAGTCATATTGCAAAATCGCACATCCGATAAGGTTCTTCCACCACAATTACCGCCAAAAGAAGTGTCTGTACAGGTTCGGATTCTTTTTTGGAATGGTTCAAAGCCAAGCCTATAACAAGTAGCAGAGCATGGTCCCCATTGTGTCCAATCACTTAAACGGCCTAAAGATTAAGTTTATTAAAGTTTTCAAAATCTATACAAGTAGTGTGATTTGTAAATTTGTTGTCAAAATTATGTTATTTTTTTTAATATTTATTTAGACATCAAAACATAATTATACCAATCACATCAAAGTAAGCATGCATTATTCACTTAATACATTATGAAAAAAACACACTACCAATCATATAAGGAAAAGCATATATTACTCGCATTGTCACATTAAAATAAACATACATTTTTCATATTATTTTGACAATACAAAAAATATATTATCTTTATATTATTGCTGAACTTATTAGTGTTAGTAGTGTTAGTCCTCATTTGAGCGTGTTTGACACAGAACTCTTGGCAGCCATTGCAACCGATGTTGTGGCGAGAAAATCGCAGCGCTTTGTTTTTATAGGAAAATGTGGGCGAGCATGTATGTAATTTTATAACGAAATGAAACTTTAAAGTAAGAAATTTTTAAACATAATGAAAGATTTATATCGTTTTACTGTTTCATTTCCTCTTAAAAATTGCATTGCCTTAAGGTCACTATAAATTTGATCTGTAGCACTATTTTCCGTTAGAAAAATTATCATATAGGTTACATAAATTTCGCCTAACAATGTGCCGCTTGAACCAGTGGATAGCGTCCCAAGGCTCTATGCAATAAGCTATGGTTCGAATCCTACTTCTGGCAACTTTTTACTTTTAATTTTTTCCAAACTTTTCAAAATACAAAATACTTTTGAAGTGTTATGAATAGTTATACAAACATACTTTAAGAAACAAAAAGATTTTTTAAAAGCTAAAATTTCTAAAAACATCAAAACATCGTGAGAAAAGATTTGATTTGTATGTGTCATGATTGAGATACTATGTCTAATAATTAGTCCTAGTTTAGCTGCGAATGGTCAGAAAAATAATTTGTTTTAAACTTAATAAAGAAAAACATAATAAAGTAGTCCTGCTAATCCAGAAAGTACTGCGGTAAAGTTAAAAAAAAATGCCTGTAGAAAAATGCGTAAATTTTTTTTGAAAATTAACTCGTTAACAGTCCATGTTGTAATATTACGCAATTTTAAAGTGGTTTATTAATTTCTATGCCATAATACTATGCAAACTAAATGTGGTTTCTAAATGTCCATGCCTCAATACAGTAATTCTACGTCTACTTGTCACAAAAATTATAACTACATTATTACTGAGCTTTTGTTTTATAATTGTTATTTAAACGTGTTCAATTTATTTTTTATTATAAAAAATAAGGAAGTTTTTTCAGTGCAAAAATAACTATAAAAAGTAAAAACGTACTCACAAAAATATAAACTTTTATTCATTACATAAATCAATTATGAAAAGATATATTTAACAAATGATTATTAAAAATGGCAATAAAATAATACTGCTCAAAGATGGCGTGCGTTATGTTAGAAAAACAATATTTAAAATAGTTCAGAATGTAAATGTGTGGAATGCGATGTATACTTTTTGCAGGTCCATGTTTTTTACATATATTATACAAAAAGTAAATATTAGTAATTACGTTTTTAAAATGATGTTTTTATGTAGAATGATTTATATATATTCCAACTTGATATATATATATTCCAATATATATTCTTATATATATTCTTATATATATTCCAATTTTTATGTAGAATGATTATATATATTCCAACTTGAATAGGAAAAAAGCGTTTATGATGGCATAGCACCTATGACGGCATACCGGTCACATTTTCATAAATATTGCTTATAGCGAAAAAGTGATTAGACCAACACGTCTATACTGATTTTAGATTAGTTTTGGTAAAAATACGTTTATTATGTACAAATATTGGTTTTATAATCAACAAAAATTGATTTTGAAATGTGTTCTTGTATTTTTAATCCCTTTAAATATTTCAGATTGTAGTTTTATTATTAAATGTGTAAAGTTGAAAATATCATTCATTTTGTTTCCAAGTTTTGTGCATATAGTGAAATACTTATTTTAATTTTATCTTTTGAACAAAGAAGAAATAGCTTGTTTAAATAAAAATGATGACTTCATCTTATGATGGCATACTGATAAGTTAGTTGTATAGCAATAACGAGGAATTGACAAAATCTTTTTTTTTTCATAACAACAACATATTTTTTAGTAAAGTTAAAAAAAAAATTATACTTTACCGAAAATTTTTTTGTTTAAAAAACACATAAAACGCAATATCTCTTATGCGCATGTGCGGCTTTCTACAGTGTTACTAAGCGGGTTAATTAGAATGTTTAGGCATCATTACAAGTTACCCTTAATACTAACCAGCCCCATCCTCCCCTTTGCCATTATTGGAGTTGTTTTAGCGTATGAAGGCTTACTTATGGGTTTTTTTTAAATAAAAATAACTAATAAAAATATAAAACTGCTGAAAAAAGTTATTAATGTTTTTCATGTAACAAAGAATGTTTCCATGTCAAAATATTTGTTCTTGGTCTTCAGAATACTGAATAATGAAGCTTCAAAAATAAGTATGCTATCAATGGTGCCTTTTCCATAATAACGTTTTGTAGTGTTTAATAATGTTAAAATTAGTAAAAAAGATTTTTTTAGTCTATTGGTAAAAAAACGCTATAACTTTAAAAGTACAGGACATTGAGAGACTTTGCAAAACATGTTCAGAGAAACTCTTTGCATTTTAAAACGAATAAGTTTTATGAATATTTCCAGAACCGTTTGAAATTATGTATTCAATAATGTTTGTAGTCATCTAAACTAACTTATTTTGTAAAAAAGTTAAAACCAAATTTTTTTTTTACCTAAAGACTTTTTGAAAAACAGTTACGATTAGGATAATAAAGTAAATATGTTGAAATGAGATAGTTTGACGCAAAATTTAAAAGCTCTTAATAAAAGCTATTAAACCAAAAAAAATCAAAAGCAATTGCAGTTCAGTGCACTTGAAAGTTTTGAGTATAGTGAATAGGTGTTTGCAAAGAAGCATAAAATCACTTTTCAGGGGTGGACTTAAACCCCGTCAAGTGCTGCAAGTGACGGGGTAAATAAACAAAAAGAAATATAAGTATTATGACGTCTAACGCCCGCCTAAAGTTAATTGCCGATCTATATAACTTTGTTAGAAAATATAATTAGAAAAAGTTTACAGTGAAAACTATGCTTTGCAGACGTTTGAAAAAGTGTTTTATAAAAATTGCTAATGTAAACTACACTTTGCAGGGTATTAGAAAATTATTTATAAAACTTGCTAATGTAAACTATACTTTGCAGGATATGAGAAAATTATTTTATAAAACTTGCTAATGTAAACTCTACTTTGCAGGATATGAGAAAATTGGATAAGTTCATTGGTTTACGCTATTAAAAGTAGCAATTTGATTCGTTTAAAAAAAAACATGTTTAGTGTAAACTATCCTTTGCAGCATTTGCAGCAGTAATTTGATTGGTTGCAAAGATCGATAAACAACTCAAAAGAACTCAAGGAACTCAAAGAACTCAGTTCTAAAAACAAAGTATTTCCTAAAAATTTTAACGTATAAGCATGGGTTACAACTTGATTGATGATGGACTTAAAAGATTTAAAACCGATAATCTTGTCGATTTAAATACTTTTTATGAAACTTTAGTGGATACAATCATTTACAACAATAACAAACTGGTTAGTAACAAAGGACTTTTAAGTCATTTTATTGATAGCACAATAAGAAGAAGTATATGTGCCGAAGTTTGTATCCCTTCTTACTTAAAAGACAATAAAATGCATTGTATTGCTCTAAGATAGGTCAATTTACTTTTTTTTCAAAAATAATTATCTTATTGTATTTTATTACAAAATTTAATACCTTTTTGTAAAAATATTTATTGTTAATACCGTATTAATCTAATCTATAAAAAAATCTCGTTGACTAATCAATATTTAATAAGTGTCAACACCGTCAAATGATTTTGTCATGTATGAATATAATATGTTCATGATGTATGTATCAAATTCCTACATGTCAAAATCGTTTGTTGGTTTGTCTGAATTCTTGACTATTAATTTGATTTATGAATTTGTTTAAAAAGCAAAGATTTTTTCTCAATTTCAAATTTATTGATAAAAGAAGTTTAGCTCTTAAAAACATAAAGTAAATATATATACTTTTTCTTAAGGTCTAAAGCATCTGGAAGTTCTATGTACAGCTCTGCATCATTATTTTTTGTTGCTGACAATACACTGATGGGTGTGTTAAGAGTTTTAACATCCCTTGAAATTTATATACATGCTGATTATTACTGTAAGCATCCTTTATTTTTGAAAAATGTTTTCTGATTATAGTTCATTTTATTAATCTCAAAAGTTTGTTGTGTATGTCAGTATCTCATTCTGCATTAGATTCTGGCTTCGAAAATAATAATATTATTAAAGCTGAAGCAATTGCAAACTGTGAGAGCACAGAAAATTGGGCTGGTTTTTTATGCTTGTTAGGTTTATCATCAATTCTTTCTTGTAATATTGTTTCCTGTTACCCAGATTTTGGTGTTGAAAAGTATAAAATATTTTCTAACCAAGAGATTTCACCACGTACTCCCATTAAATTTTGTTTCCCATTATACATTTTGTTTTGTTATGATGGGAATTTTCAGTCAGGTACATTTCAGCATAATCACTATGTCCCACTAATTTTTATTCCTAAAAAGCGTAAACTTTCCAGTAAATCAAAAACAATAATTTTGAAAAAATTGCTGCCAGTCTTGTCACCTAATAAATTTTTTAAATACAAAACAGAGCATCATTGATCAAGTTGCTACACTTGTACCCACCACAGAAGGTAAAAATCCAAATAAAAAGTCTTACTCTATCCTTACATTCTTTCATAAAACAAACCCAGACTTAGAACCTACTAGTGCAGTCTTACAAAATACATCTTGTATTCTAAAATCAAATAGTTTTTCTTCTCAAATAGCAGTGTCTTCTTCTCAATCCACAACATTTTTTCAATCATTAACATTAAATAAAGATGTTTCTTCTCACTCAAAAACATCTAAGGACAGTGTTCTAACAAAAAATTTTTTTACAAAATCTTCAAGTATCAGGAAAGTACCAAATTTTTATAATAATAATAATATTGAATGCCCTTCGAACATTATTTTACCACCTAAAGAAGTACTAAATGCTCTTCAGTCTTTTGAGCAAAATGATGTTGCTTTCTTTAGACAAAAAGTTGATTTTTTATCTGACCATGAAATTTTTTTATTAACTAAAAGTATGTTTATTTCCAATAAAGATTACATTTTCCCAAAAAAATCTGGTCGTCAGTTTAGATACCTTTGGTTGAAAGAGTTTTCTTGGCTGAGATATTCTAAAAGTACTCATGGGGCATTTTATTTATCTTGTGTATTGTTTGGCAATAAATTCAAACTAAGATCATGTAAGTTAACACATTTGTATTTGGAGCCTTTCAATAAATGGTCTGATGCTATTAGATCATTTTCAAATCATGAGTCAACTAAAAATTGTTTACATGCATTTACTTTGCCTGTTTTTAATATTTTTTTGAGTCATTCCTCAGGCATAAGTCAACCAATAAATGTCATCATTGATACTAATGTAAAAGAAAAAATAATAAAAAATCGCGAAATACTTCGTCCTATTGTTGATGCTATAATTTTTTGCAGTCAAGCCAATACACCTTTGAGAGGTCACAGAGATGATTCACAATATCTTCCAGAGGCTGGAGAATATTTGAAAGGTGGAACTGGTTGTTTTAATAAACTTTTAAATTTTGCTGTACGCAATGGAAATGATGTTTTAGGCTCTCATCTTAATAACTGTTCAAAGAATGCCTCCTACATTTCGAAGACTTCACAAAATAAAATTGTTAAAAGCTGTGGTGAAGAAATTAGTGAATCTATACTATCTGAACTTCGCAAAAGTGTTTTTTTTCAATAATTGCAGATGAAGCCTGTGACTCATCTACTAAAGAGCAAATGTCATTAGTTTTACGATTTGTTGATAGTGATTTTAATATCAGAGAAGACTTTATTCAATTTGTTCATTGTAGTGAAGGAGTTAAAGGAAAAGATTTGTTTAATGTTCTTTTAAATTGTGTAAGCAACTTAAATCTAGATATAAAAAACTGTAGGGGTCAGGGGTATGATGGAGCCAGTTCTGTCTCTGGGTATATAAATGGTTTTTCTGCTCAGGTTCTCAATATAAATTCAAAGGCTTTGTATACACATTGTCATAGCCATTATCAGTTTTTGAATCGTGTAATGTTCAATTAGTTTCAGAGGTTTTTTAATAAAGTTCGCGAACTTTCTTATTTTTTTAATTATTCAGAAAATAGACAAAAGTTTTTAGAAGCTAGCATTTTAGAGCGAGAACCTCAAACGCATAAAAAAAATTAAAAGATATCTGTAGAACTAGATGGATTGAGTGTATAGATGGTTTAAAAACATTTCTTGAGCATTATTTATCTGTTTTCCATGCTTTATTTATCATGGCTTTCCCTGAGAGTTCTGTTAACAAAGACACACAAAACAAATCTTCTACTTTTTTAAATTCCATTGGCACTTTTCAATTCGTCTTTACTTTAGTTGTGACAACGCGTGTTACTGCAATCAAAAACTATTGATATCTTAGACGGTTTGCACCTTATTGCAGCTCTTAAAAATGCATTTATTTCCATCATTAACGATATAGATAGTTTTCATAATAACTGCTATGAAGCAGCATGTATGCTTTCAAGTAAAGCTGAAATTTTTGTTTTAAAACCAAGAACCTGTTCTATTTAAAAAAATCGTTCTAATGTTTCATCAGAGTCTGTTTCAGAATACTTCAAAAGAGCTGTTACTATCCATCTTATAGATCATGTATCTACATTTATATCTACAAGATTTAAATCAGAAACTGTAGCTGCATATAAAGGGTTATCAATTATTCCATTTAATATTATTTCTTTTCTTAAAAGACCCAAAACCCAATTGTGTTGGAGGAAGCAGTTTGAAACATTCTGTAATTTTTATATAGATGATTTCCCTAATATCAGTGCCTTGAATGGGGAACTAGTTCTTTGGGAAAAATACTAGGAAAGTTTCTCTAGGACTATTCCAGACAATATATCTTTAACTCTTAAATCGAAATCATTTCCTGGATTTGAAAATATTAAGATAGCTTTAAAAATACTTGGGACACTTCCTGTTGCTTCATGTGAGTGTGAGAGGAGTTTTTCTGTTATGCATCGGTTAAAAGATTATATGAGAACAACAATGTCAGAAGGTCGACTTAACGGTTTGGCATTAATGTATGTCCATCAAGAAATTGTTCTTTGTATTGATAATGTTATCAATAGATTTTCTATAAAAAATAGACGACTTTATTTCAATGATTAGTGTCAATACTGTTTATTCTATAACACACCAAAAACTTTTGAAATTTTTGTCTATTATCACCTCTCTTCATATAACAGCTAACAAATAGGCATGGAAACCCCTGGAAAGGCCAAGACTTCAATGGTATCCTTAACAGGACGGGTTAAATGTAACCCCATACTTTTGTTTGGGATCAGCTATATGATTAGTGATCATAGTTCAGGCAAACATTAACCATCTCTTTTTGACAATCTCTTTATATCATTTTCTAGCGACAAAATAAAAAATTAAAAAAATTATTTTCAATAAATTTTCTCTAAATCAACCTAATAATATTCATAAGTTTTTGTGCCATTTAAATCAGTTTTTTGCTGTAGTTGTCAAAACCATTAGCTTTCTTTTTATTTCATTAAAAATGATCTTCTTTCTAGTTGTTAAAGCATAACTTGGTATGTCTTTTTTTTTTAATCTTGTTAGAATATATATAACTTTTTATTTCACGATGTATATAAATCCATTTGTATTTTTGTCTTTTCTTAATTTTTCTTTCTCTGATTGTCTATGTCCGGAATAAATATGTTCCTAGACATGCTGATGAGCCCTGATATTGGGCGAAACAATTATTTGTTGGTTTATATCTTTACTATATATTTATATATATAAAATGTTTCAAAGTAAAACTAAGATATGAGCTTCTCAATGAAATAGCAAAAAGAAAATCCCTTTAAATCCTCCAGCCCTAGGGCAAGAGGATATAGGGGATACATAGGGGGCAGGCTATGGGAGCGATGGCCTCCCTTAGATGTTTTTTTTTTATAAGAACATTTTGAAAAAAACCTAAGTAAATTTGGTAGGCTGTTTAAAAGTGGCATAAAATTGTGTAGTCTAAATTCTTTTTTTTTGGGCTTGCCTGCTTAAAAATCGTTAAACCTTTAAATGGCTTCCTTTAATCGTTTGGATCGAACGAAAAGAAAAATTGCCCACCCCCTTTACTACATAGTCCAGATCCGCCCTTACTTTTTCCCCCTCCCCCCCCCCCCCCATTTTTTCTATTTGCTTTGTGGGCGTAGTTGCGTCACTTACAACATGGCGTAAGGCGCATTTTTTTGACGGGGTAAATTAAAAACCTGCGTCCGCCCTTGCTTTTTAATATAAATTATTTTTTTATAACTTTGCCGCGTTTACCCATTATTTTTTAAACAATGTATATATAAAAAAATATGTTATTTGTTTATATATATATATTGTTTATAAAATGTAAAAATGCAACTTTAATAACGTTTTATTCAAGGTCGTATTTAATATAAGTAAACTTTTCTAATAATTACAGGTCAGGCTGTTTTGTTTAGATGTTTTGTAGGTATGTTATTATTTTTGAAAAACATTGACAAGATTAAAAAAACGCTAAACATATTGACATTGAAATGGAAAATTAGAAATTTCAATATTAGAATTGCTCCCCTCTGTTTAAAATTTAATTGCTAAAAATAAGTCATCTGCGTATTAGCACTAAAAAAAACAGACGCTGCTTTTTCGTAAACCGCTTAATTCACACTTTTTTGTGTGTATGTGACGTCATTCAGTGTTAAAAAACTAGAAAAACAAACTAGAATTAAGATTTTATTTAATTTTTCCAAGAAAACTATTAAATATATTTAAATAAAGACAAAAAGTGTTTACTTCTTACTATTGTTATAAATATAAACTCTAATAAATGTAAAGTGATACATCTTTAGCAGTTTTATATCTATTTTGTGCAAATTGTATTCACAATTGTATGCAAAATAATTAAAAATAATCAAAAAATGTAAAATATATGCAAAAGGAAACTTGAAGCATATAGGTTTATTTTGCGACGCACTGACGTCATTGCGCAAACGTTTTTTCGATTAACTTTTAGATTAGCATTTTTCTTTAGTTTTTAATCATAATCATAAAAATGAACTTTTTTTTATAACTATGTTTTAATTGCCTAAGATATTCTTAGTTCTATTTGTATAGTGATACGTACAAACGTATTAAGTATAAACGTCTTTAGCATATGTTGAGTTTACAGGCAAATATGGAATAATCGCGTATCTATAAAATTATCTATAAAATAAGAAAACTTTAATTTTAATTTTTAAAAAACTTTTTTGATATATATATATATATATATATATATATATATATATATATATATATATATATATATATATATATATATATATATATATATATATATATATATATATATATATATATATATATATATATTCTTATCTTTTTATAAAAGCTGAGAAGAAAAAGATTGAGATTCCTGAAAAAAGAGATTTTCCATTGAAGAAAATACCTCCCTAAAACAATTTCTAATATGAAATATTAAGTAGAGGAATAAAAGTATCATAAAAACGTTTTCTGCTAAATATAGTTTAACATTTGTTTTAACTTATTCTGATTTCTTTATTATAAGTGGTCATTAGGTTGTTGTTTTTCTTTTAACTATTTTAAAACTCAAACAGTTTTTAAATAATAAGTAATATGATGAATAAAAAAGCAATTTTTATACCTGGACAAGGAACGTTTTCCTTACAATTACGATATTCAATTAATGGTTCATCGTTACAATCATTTAAAGAATCGGGTGAACAACTGCGTGTCCTAGTTTCTTTTGGTATCATATCCAGTTGACAAGTAGAGGAGCATTCTCCCCATTCTGACCAGTTACTTAAATCTAAAGCAAGAATACTTAATCAGTATTTGATAACCTTAACAAATTTCTTGATTTTTTAAGTTTAAATCAAAATGAAATTGCACCAGTCATTCCTACATAACATTATTCAGACATAATAATAATTTTATTCTTGTCACATCAAGGTTAACAAACACTATTCAGATTCTTTTTATTAAAACAACAAAGAAACAAGAATAGGACACAAAATTGTACTAAAAAAGCAAACGAGGATAGTACAGATCTGATGCACTAAAGACAAGCAAATGACCTGATATCAAAAGTAGTCTTTAGAGATGGATGCACAAAAAAAAACTTCCATTGATTTTAAACACACACACACACACAAATACAAAATCAGCATTAATCTAGCAGAACCTATTATTTTCCTATCAGCCTATTTTAGGTCATTGCAAAAAGTTTACAATTTCCTTACATGGATGCAAATATTAAAAGAGAAAAAAAAAAATCTGTTTGTTTAAAGTTTACCTTTTACACAAACTAAACCATACATTTGAGTTTATACTTCTCGAAAATCTCTGCTCTATTATAAAATTATCGTGAAGAGAGTTCTATTCCAAAATTTATAAAACTTGTATACTGTTGAATTTGCTTTCTTAGAAAATCCTAGAAGTTTTTGTCATTTTTACTTACTTATTTTAATCATATCTGTAGTGGCATTTTTCGTTGTCTTTTTTTTAGTTTACTTATTGTGTTAGTTTATCTGTAATTATTTGTAAATCTATGTTTATTACAGCGCTAAAACTTGATGTAATGCTTCTTAAGTAAAAATTAAAAATATCTTTATATATAATACACATTTGTGGTCTTCAAAGCAGCTTACTATTAGTTGAATCTTACCTCTAATAAAGTTCACTAAGTCTGATTTCTCTTTGTGAGAATAACTTAAATTCAACTAATCCTACTTCAGATCTAATTACTGATTTTTTGCAAACCTCGGCTGTAAGAGACTTTGTCAACTTGAATAAAAAAAAATATTCTACCATTCCCCAATTTGTCGACTAAGGTCTTAATTTGCAGACTAATGGTATAAAAAAATACTAACTAAAATTTTGTATTACACTTCTTCTAATCACGCCGGCCTTTTAATGCTTTTTCTACGCTTCCAAAAACATGTGAAGCTTTAAGTACGTTTTAAGTCATTATATAAATGAGAGGGAGCTTTCCCAGTGAAAAAAAACCACGTCTCACATAGGTTCCATGCGGGTTCCGTGTGGGATTTATGGAATTAATATGGGACGGATTTGCCCATGTGGTATCCGTATGGCAATTTGCCACTTAAAACCCATATGGGTAAATCCCACATGGGTTACATGTGGTATTTACCCACATTGGATTTTCCCATGTGGTATCTATATGGATTTTTGCCACTTCAAACCCATATAGGTAATCCTACATGGGTTACATGTGGGAAAAGCATGGTATTTACCCTTATGGAAAATCCCACGTGGGTTTCTTGTGGGATTTACATATAATTTTATTTGAAGACTGGAAACTAAAACAATCTTAAATGTTAAAAACAACATTACATTACTTTCGCGGAAGTTACATACACCATATAGAACACATGTGGGATTTACTATATGAAAACCATATGGGACAAAATAATAATTCCCACATGGGTTACATATGGAAAAAAACCCACGCGTATCTTATGTGCGTTTTTTCACTGGGTTATTGCCTCATTGCTCAGGGACAAATGGGATCTAGAGAAAAGAAATAGCACTAAATGTATTTTATTATTTGTTGTCTAACAAAAGAAATATGAAAAAAAAATTCACTGTTATTTTACTTGTTTCACTTTTAGGTAGAATGCACTTTTTTTTGCAGGATATAATTTTTTTAAATTTTCTCATAAAAAAAGTGACCATGTTTTTCCAAAGTTCAATATGCTGCACAGTAATGCACCTATCATGGAATTTTCAAACAAGAATTGGTCATGTGACCGAATGTTTCTCATGATTGAAATAATAAATTTGTCGACTGCCGGCAGCAGAGAAAAAAATCTTGTGCGACTAAATTACAAAATTCTTTTAAATCAGTTACTTGAAATGTATGGTTATAAAAATTGAGCAGCTGTGGCGCAGTTGTTAGAGTTCTGGTTCAGAACCCAGAGGTCCGAGGTTCGACGCCAGCTCCAGTCCAACAAGAAACGTTGGTATGGAAAGAGGCGTGAACCTCCTGTTAAACGCTCTCCCGCGGTGCTCTGTGATAAGACCGTAAGGACTTCTAGGAGCACCTAAATAACTACCAAAAATAAAAAAAATAAATAAAAAATACTTATACATTTTTAAAACAAAAAAAGGTGACAAAATAATTAAACTTTGATATTACTTTCAAACTACAGTCAGATTTTTTGAAGTTCAAATTATGCATTGCTGTGTGAAATGCAAATGAAGCCTTTTTTGATGCAATAATAAATCACATTCATTCGTTCCTTTTTAAAAAGAACATGCGGTAGCCGAAACTCTATCTTTGTGTTTAAAACACTTTAAACAACTTTCATGTTTAACAAACATTTTTTTTAAACAATACTAACATATAACAATGATAGTAATGTTTAGAAAAAATGTAAAACAATGTAACAAAGAACTAAAAGTAACATTAAACTTAGCATTGGAATGTCTGTTATGCAAAGACCATGCATTAAACGGCGAGCAGTTCTTGGATTAGCTCATGCTTGTTTGCCATGGGCCAGCCATGGCATCGATGATTGGCTATGCATGAGCAAAGCAAGGAAAGGGTTCTGGAAATAAAAACGAAATAAAAATGATTTTTAGATCATTTTTTAACGTCGTTGTGATAATTTTATACCACGTTTAAATTAATTTACATTTTTATAAAAAAAATTAAAAGTTATTTAAAAAAAAAAACAAACCCTGAGTTGAACTTTCTTGAAATTGAAATGCCAAACATAAAATGTAAATTTTCCAAATCATTTTATCTAAACAATATTTTTAGAAACTAACTATATTGCTGTTTAACCGTATGAGTAAATAAACCAATGACTGATGTATTTATAAGGAAATGTAAAGACTAGTTAATTGGATAATATTCAAGCCAGTTGTATCTAGTTATTCGACAACCCCATCATAATTTTGGATTACTTATATTCAATAGAATAGATATGAAGATTAAATATAAAAGCAATTTAAACGGTAATTAACATTCTTAAATCTTTTTAGTATATCCAAGAAATATAACATTATAAAATATTTTAATTTTTATATTTTTCTATTGATTAGTTTTCACAAATCAAAATGTAATGACGCAAATGGATCGACTGTTATTGCAATTTAATTGAAAATTTTTATAATAGGATTATATGCGTTTACTTCAATATGATTAGGCTTTTTTAAATAAGACTCCGAATCTCTATTCGGAGAGTTATTAGATATTTTTGAAATCAGATTTGACTTTGTATTATTTTATTGAAAATATTATTATATTGAAAGAGATAAGAAAACTAATAATTTACGAGAAATGACAAAAATTACTTAGAAATGTTTGCAACAATAATTTTATCATAATTAGTGTTTTTAATTTTTGTAATATACGAAGTATAA